GCCTGGTCTCCAGAGCGAGTGCCAGAATAGGCTCCAAAGCTACACAGAGAAACCCTGTCTCGAAAAGAAAAAAAAAAGAGCAATCAAGGAAGACATCTTGATTTCCATGTTTGGTTTCCTTGTGCTGCACACACAAGAGCACCTGGACAACATGTACATTCACACAAATACACACATTTCGTAGCTGGAGTTTCTGTTCCACCTGGTCCTGCAGCCTTTTAGTCCCAAGTAAACACACAGAGGCTTAAATTAACTATAAACTGTTTGGCCAATGGCTCAGCCTTCTTACTGGCTAGCTCTCTCTTAATTATTAACCCATTTCTATTCATCTATGTATTTCCACGTGGTCTTCGTTTACCAAAGAATGCTTGGCATCCTATCTTCCCATTAGCTACATGGCGTCTCTCTGGAGACTTTTCCCTGCCTCCCTCTCCCCAGAATTCTCCCTATCTGGTAGCCCTGCCTATGCTTCCGGGCTGGCTACTGGCCAATCGGTCTTTTATTCATCAACCAATAAGAGAAACATATATACAGAAGGACATCTCTCTCTCTCTCTCTCTCTCTCTCTCTCTCACACACACACACACACACACACACACACAGCAACTTTTTAATTAGTAATAGTGCTGGATATGGTATCATCACACTGGATATATTGGCACTTATCAGTAATCCCAGCACTTAGGAGGCTGAGGGATTAGGACTAGGATTTAAAAGTCAATTTGGCCTCATAGCGAGTTCCAGGCAAGCCTGGGACTATATGAGACCCTGTCTCAAAATAAAAATCAGTAATATTTCAATTGTCCACCGAAGGAACAAAAATTCAAAAGGGACTGAGAAGGAATCCTTAACCCAATCTGTTTATAAAGGATCTGAAAAGTGAAAGAACTTGTGAGTTTGTAAGGACAGGCTGTGGACAGCTAGTTAGACCTATGAGACAGGTGTCAAGAGGGTGGAATACATTGGTTCAGTGAGTGTTACAGCCTAAGAGGATGACAGACAAGGAAGTTAACTCTGGACTTTGATGTCTATCAACTCATGGCAGTTTTCAAAGCCTTGAAATGTTCTGTCCTTGTCCATTAGGGGAACAGCATCACTGTCTAAAGCTGCTGGGACCTGCAGAAAACATTGCTCTAGGGAGGTTTAAAGGGATAACAGATCCTCTATGCGGCCTTCTTCATCCCCCCCCCCACACACACACACCTTCAGACCTAGTCTGTGTCCCCATGTCCTTACATCAGTCCTTAACCCTTGCTATAATACCTGAGGCTTTGTGACTTCAGGAAGAAAAGAGGTTTGTTTAGCTAACTGGGTTCAAGGGCTGCCATCAGCTGTGCTCTGGTGAGGACCTCATGGCTTAACAGTGGAGGGAATGAACATGAGAGGAAGAAATGAAATGAAACAGGAAAGCCAGATGAGGCATGCACAGGAAGAGCCAGTCATCCCCTTCCACTGGGCCACACTTCCCTTTTTCTGAGTTTTATTTCGGTTTTTAATTACGTGTATATGGAGGGGTGGGGAGCATATGAGCTCACGTGACCGCAGAGTAGTCAGATCCCCTTGGAGCTGCAGCCACAGGCAGCTGTGAGCTGCCCAATGTGGGGACTGAGAATCAAACTCAGGTCCTCTGCAAAAGCAGTACGCACTCCTAACCACTAAGTCATTTCTTTATCCCCTGGGCCCCACCTCTTAAAGTTCTCACTAACGTGTTATGAGTGTCAGAGGTTGATGTCAGGTGACTTTTTTTATATTGCTCTCCGTCTTACTCAGGATCTCTCACTGAACATGGAATTCACTAATTCAGCTTGACTGGCCGGCCGGCCAGCCTCAGGGTCCTCCATCTCCACCTTCCTTCCCCGGTGCTTGGATTACAGGAATGCACCATGACGTAACTGAGGAGCTGAACTCAGGTCCTCATGCTTGCCTGGCAAGCACATTACTGACAGAGCCATGGTCTCCCCAACTCTTAAACATCACCACACTGGGGTCCAGGCCTCCAGCACAGCACCCTCTCACATGCCTGGGATGTTCTAGAGAAAAGCCAAGCTCTGAACCGGAGTAGACAGAGAGCCACCTTCATCACTAACCACTTCCTTGTGTGTTTCTTCCTCTCCCATTGTGACGGTCAAAGTCCAACACGACAATCCTCAAACTGGAGCTGGAAGACAACTGCATCATGGAGGAAGGAGTCTTGAGTATGATGGGGATGCTACATGAGAACTACTACCTGCAGGAGCTGGTAGGGTGCCCTCCTCCTCCGGCTCTTTCTGGCACACCTGGGGACTCAGAACCACTCAAGCCAAGCCAGAGCCACCCTGCCCCCCGCCCAGGCCCAGGTCAGCTTTGGGCTATCTCAAGCCAGTCTGTGGGCTCCTCCTCTCCAGACACAACTTCTCAAAGGCTGGCTCAGGCACTGTACCCTGTGGCTGTGGGAAAACCTGGCTGCACCATACAAGTCCCCCCCCCCAATAGGATGGTTTACCCATGCTAATGTAAGCGAAGCTTTCTTCTTTGCAAAGCAGGGACCTGGTGAGGTGGCTCAGTTTCAAATCCTCCAAATGAATCTACCTTAAGTTTCAAAACACCCAATGCTTATCTGAAGTCCCCAGGGCTAAATTGAGGGAGCCGGGTTGTTATTGAAGACAATATGAAAAAGATGAAATCCCATGAGAGACATTAGAGAAGCCAGACTGGGAACAAGCTTCCTTGCCTTCGGCCTCTCTGTCCTTTGCATTACCTTCCTTAATCCTAAGCCTTTTACCCCATCACACTCTCTCAGTCAACCCGAAACAGCCCCCCCACCCTTGTTTTTGAGGGCTTTCTTGTGCGATTCTCTCCTGCATGTGTGCACTCTTATCTCTCAGAACATGTCTAACAACGACCTAGGTTTGGAGGGAGCCAAGATCATCTCAGACTTCCTCCAGGAAAACAACTCTTCACTCTGGAAACTGAAGCTTTCAGGTGAGCCCATGGAAAGGTTCACTGGAAACAAAAGGCAAGGAGAACAGACCACCTAGGGTCTTTTTGGCCTCAGAACAGCACGTGGCATATTCCCCTTTCTGGACCAGACAGCCTTGCCCCTCCAGGGCCACACCAACTTCCTGCCTTCCTCAGCAAGCTCTCTTTGCAGCAATCTTCCCTTGTCTTGGGCATCTCCACCTTCTGGGGTCTGCCTGGCTCATATGCCTTCTTCCCTCCCTTCCTCCATACCTTCATTCTCATGTCATCTTTTAAAGGGACTTCTCTGACCCCTTTCATGATAGCAATGCTCTATCACCATTACTCTCTGTCCTGTCTCTCCAGTTGTCTTAATGTTTCTTAACCACTTGATTATTGCATGTCTACTTTGAAATGAGTGATACCCTAGCTATTATTGGGGGGAACGGGGTCACTTGGAATTTCTAGTACCCAGATAACACTTGGATTTGCAGATTTATGCTATCTGCAGGGCTCTGGAACTCCTATGCCAAGAAACGAATATAGAGAGTGGTCCTATGCTGAACAATAATAGGACCTCTGTGGAGGAACAGTCTTTACCCAGGTAGTTTGGGATTCCCATACAGAAGCCCCAGCCCAGGTGGTTCAAAACTGCAAAACTGACAAGGAAAAAAAACTTCAAAAAGTGGACACTCAGCAGATTCAGAAAATAGAATTCTCAGGCACAGACAATGTGTTCTTGACTCTTCCGTTTCTGTGATAAAGCACCGTGACCGTATGGGAGAAAATTCCCAAGATTGGGAAATGACTTGGTAGGTAAAGTGCCTGCTGAGAAACCATGCGAGCCTGAGTTCAGTTCCCCAACAACCGTGGGAAAGCTAGGTACAAGCAGTTTGCATCTGTAACTCCAGAGGGGTGGGACAAGAGATGAGCAGAGCCAGGGCTCTCTCCAGCCAGCCTAGCCAAAATGACAAGCTCTGCAGCTCTGTGAGAGATGCTAACTCAAAAAATAGATACAGGATAATAGAGGAAGGCATCCAGCCTTCGGCCTTCATAAACACACACACACACACACACACACACACACACACACACTCGCAATCACATGTACACACAAAATAACAAAGCAAATTTTAAAAAAAGAAATGCACACCTGAATTTGTCAATGAAAAAAATATGAAAAAGTGTCTTAAAACATCAATATCTTGCTAAGCAGTGGTGGTGCACACCTTTAATCCCAGCACTTGGGAGCAGAGGCAGGAGGTTCTCTGTGAGTTCAAGGCCAGCCTGGTCTACAAAACAAGTTCCAGGCAGCCAGGACTATTACACAGAGCAACCCTGTCTCAAAAATTAAAAACAAAACAAAAAAAAGCTGTATTTTAAAAATATCCAGAAAAAATAGAATGCTTATTTTGAATATAAGCTCTATCATTCATCTGGTATTCCTCTTCAATTTCACCTGTTTCCCTCTAAACACATTTCCCCCTGTGACAGGACAAGTATACTTATCTCACTCTCTGAATAGTACTCCATGTTGTAGGGTGACTATAGTGGGAAATTACCAATACGGAGTCAGGTAGAAATATAGGGGGATTTAATAGGGAAAAGCCTTACTTACAGAGCGACCTAGCCAGCCAGCATGGCAGCAGTCTGTACAGCAAGCACCAAAGAGAAACTGAAAGCGAAAACACAGTCACACTACATCACTCTGACCACGCCCCTCACAAGCCTGGTCAGGCACACCTGTAGCCAGCCCCTAAGAAGG